AGAGGAGGGAGAGCTCGTACCTAAATAAAACTTGGTCTTAAAGGTGCCACTGGATTTTTTGGGATTGCTAGTTATGGGGGGGGGGACGCGCAGATCTGCCCTCACAGGGGAAGGAGAGCTTGTACGTGGGCCGGGGGGGGGGCTCTGCAACTTACCTGGCTGCTTCTTGCTCCTCGTGGCCCAACTGAGGGCTGCTAGGAGCAGGGGGCGGGGCTTGTTGCATGTGCCCACCCCCTGGGCTCCTTACTACCGGAGCTCCGCTCTTGTGCGCTCCCACAGAAAATGACCCCTGACTAACCTATTTTTAATACTATTATTGGTCATTTTCTCTAAATCCCTTGCTAAGAATATTTGCGCTCTAAAGTTTACTCTTGGCTTTTCTCCCTTATATTGCCCCTAGTAATAGAGTAGCGTTAGCTTCCTTATCTTTAGTGATAAGTCCTCCCTTTCATTTGCTGTAATTTTCCCCTTTTAAAAAGTGTGTAAAAGTCATTATGCAACCTTTGATCCTTTCATCAAGTTTTGTTTTGAAAACTGGCAGTTTTGAACTTGATGGTATTCTTCATTCTTGCACTTTTTAAAAAAAATCTGCTTTACTGGTCAACCCAACCCACAGATTCTGTCAATCCAAAAATCCTATGGTTAAAGCCTATTTAGTCCCATAAACATTAATTTCATTATCATTCAAGTGACTGGCTGGTTCTTACAATACATGCATACATGTTAATTAAACTGAGGAATCATGACCGGGATCATCCTTTCATACAGAGTGGATCTTCTTTAATTCTTGTATTGAGAGAAGTCCAAGTGATTGACATTCCATGAATTTTGATAACAGAATAGAATTTATATAAGACAGTTTTATAATAATATCATATAGAAATATCAGATTGTATGAAGTAAAGATAATGGCTTGATTCCAAAACATTGCAAATGGTCTAGAGTTCATACAGTTACTAGGGAATTAATGATATTGAACCCAGTGGGAGTTTTAGAACCTTCAAAAATTATGCATGGCATTAGTATGCAATTGAAATAAAAATCATGGAACAAATAGGGTACTGAAAAATCTTAGGCAGTTCCGCTGGGCCTGTAAGATGGAGCTCTTCCGCCAGGCTTTCACATAGGGGCCACCACTACGACCGCCACCAAGGAGGTGGACAACATCGGGGTTAAGGATGGCCCGGGAAGATCTGCCACAACTTCTGCGTGACCGATACCACTGGATTTACCTGGTTGAGCTATAGGATAACATCATCCTTGGAGAACTGTCTATTTACCATCTAGCATGTATCCGGAGACCATCTTGTTAAATGAGTACAATTGTTATTAATTGTTATTCATGTTTTTATTGCTTTTATCTGTTTTATATGGGCTTTGCCCCTTGTAAGCCGCCCTGAGCCCGCTCAGGGATATAAATCTTAATAAAAAAATAAATAATGCTTTAGAGTATTATTTTTCTCTCATAGGATTGTTAATAGGCTTGTCAGGTCTATCCTGGCAAATGGCGGGGATTTGGGGGGGGGGACTTACAAGAGAAAGGTCCAGGCCATGTCACCAGTATCATACAGGAAATGATGTCATCACAGCAGTGACTCCTGGGCAACACTCTGATATTTGGGCAAAAACTCTATAATAAAACTGGTTTCTACCATAGAGTTTTTTTCCCAGATACTAGAGTGTCACCCAGGAGTCACTGCTGTGATGACATCACTTCCGGTGCGATCCTAGCTACGTGGGCTGGGCCTCTCTCTTTCTACTGGTAAATCCCCCCATCAGCCAGCTGATCAGTGACATCAGTCCTGGTAGCAGGGGATCCCTGCCTCCACCAGAGGGGTCTGGCAACCCTAAATGTCAATGGTACATGAACACTGGTATAATTATTACAAAAACTTCCTCATAAGTTAAGCTTTTGTACTGTGCTGAAAAGTCTATTTTAGAATATTCTTTCTTTCTGCATTTTCTTAGGCTACATTAGCAGACATTTGAGTACAATTGAGTACTGGGCCGCCTTGGCGGGAGGGCGGAATAAAAGTCTAACAAATAAATAAATAAATAAACGTATGGAAGTGATCTCGAGACTATTTTCTTGGAAGTATGTCGCCTTTTATTCTTACTCCTGAGTAGGCATGCTTATGATGGTTTCATTTCCCTCTTATCATTCTTATTTCTTTTGAAAAGTTATAAAAGCTAACCCTAAATTATAAAATGTTCTGTTCTTAATGACTGTCCCAGCTTTTATGTTTCTTTTGTTTTATAGTGTTGCATGTCATACTGGTTATTGCCTTTGTACTTTAAACTTTGATAACAAGACAAGATTTATATAAAAAGACAGTTTTATCATAACACTCATTAGAAACATTAGAATTATGCAAATTAAAGGTAATTATGTGGAATTCTTTGGACTAGAAATCATACAATTAATAGGGAATTAATCATTGAAGTCTGTGGAAGTTTTAGCTCCCTCAGAAGGTGTGCATAGGATCAGTCTGCACTTGAGATAAAATTATGGAATATACAGGGCACTAAAAATGTTCTAGAGTATATTTGTTCCCGTATAGGGTCTTAGAACATCAACATTGTAGGAACACAGGCATGATTATTACAAAAATTAAGCTTTTGTTTTCTCTTGAGCAGTGTATTTTACTTTATTCTTTATTCTATATTTTCATATGTTTCAGTATCAGCAATTTGAGTAGTTCTCTTTCTCACCCTTTGTCCTCCTTGCAAAAGGTTATGAAAGCTAATGCTAAACTATGAAATGTTCTGGTCTTGACCTTCTTCTATGTTTGTTTTGGTTTATAGTGTTATGTACTGTACTTCGTACTTTATATTAGATCATGACCCTGTCATTTGCCCATATTCTTTTCCTTTTGAGTAGTGTTTTGTATGTTGAGGGCTGTACCAAAAGTAAACAAGCATGTACTCATTCCTGGAGACTAGCCAGGTTTCAGTACCAGGTTTGTCATAAGTACTGATATTGTTCACTGTTGGATATATGTGCCAGTATTTTATTTTCACTAGATCCAGCAGCTAAAATGCCCTGTATTTGTAATAAGCACCTAACTTACTCAAACAGAATCAGAATAGAAATGTACTAAATCAGGTCCTCTTTATCATGTGCTAATATTTGTTATTGATGGTGTCTTTTGATTCTTTTTCTTGATTCATTAATCAAGAGTTTATTTCTTCTGGTGAACAAAACACAGAATCTGGTAAGATATGCAGGAATATACTATTATCTTGTATCCAGGGATGAAGACAATGTTTGGGTAGCAAAAGCTGACAATATTTGTCATGAGAAGTATTATAAACTGTTGCTTTAGAGTACCTACTCCTGGTCTAAGGGAAATATGTGAAAATTTGAAAAACTTGACTCAGTGTTCATCCAGTTGAATTTTTGGTTTCTGAGGAGTGCAAGCATGATAAAAGAGATGTTTAAGTAACTTCTTTAAAGTTCTTCAATTAAAAGAAAAGTTGTTATTTGTGATGCCTGCTGCTGCAAACCTATGCATACTTGCCAGGAGTGAGGACTATTGAATTCAGGACTTACTTTTAAATAAAACATATATGATCAGGCTGCATGATTCTTATGCACATTAAAAATAAAACTGCTAAAAATAACTTGTTAGATTCGAGTTTAGTAGCAGCTTGGAGACCAACAAGAATTTCAGAGTCTAAGCTTTTGAGAGTCAGAGCTCCCTTCATCAGATACGAGTTGGAATGGAGATCAGAGTCTTTATATCCCGGTCAGAAGGTGGGAGGGATGTTGCAAAGTAGGAATTCAGGATGCAGAATCTGCTTGATTAGAGTGGAGGGGAAATTCTCGGAAGCGTAATGTTAGATAAGGTTCCCGTGTCCCTTGTTCTGAATTTATGAATGAACTCAAATTCAGAAATCCAGTCCAGCTATTCTGCTGCAGACCAACATTGCAACCCCTTGAAACTTGTCTTTTTCTGAATTCCTAAACTCCACATTCCTTCATTCTGGAAGCTACTCCCTTAAAAAATGTAGTTCTAAAAAGTGTCTCATGTGGCTATATAATGTATGAATTAAACTCAGAGACCCTTAGGGGTTAGGGCGGGATAACAAATCAAATAAATAAATAAATAATAAATAAATAAACTTACCAAATTAATGTGGACTGTGACTTCCCAGTTTTTTTCATTATTTACTCCAGCATTGTTAACCACAATATCCAACCTGCCAAAATGCTCAAATATCTTCTTAAATGCATCTATAAGGAGAAAGGTGTGGGGGGGAGAGCTTCTTTATTTCTATACAGTTTTATGTCACTGACATTGAATATATATATACATTGAATATATATACATTGAATATACATTGAATATATATATATATTAAATGTCAGTGACAGAGCCTCAATTATGAATTTTGCATAGGGCTGCCAATGTGGGTTGGGAGATTCCTGGAGATTTGAGTGTGAAGGGCGGGGTTTGGGGAGGGGAAGAACATCAGCAGAGTCCACCCTCCAAAGTCGCCATTTTCTCCAGGGGAACAAGAAGCCTACTGGGCTACTAGTTTTTGTTCAAATCCACCACAGCTGCAAACTTAGCCAATGTTGCTATTGTTTTTGTTTACCCTAGCCTGCAAATGAAACACTGCAAACAGATGTTAAGCATCATCTCCCTCTCCCTACATGCTGGTGAAGCAACCAAGTACAGGTTTATGCTACTCACCACAAAGGACATTAACTCACCAACCCACCTGGCCACTCCAAACCTTGTTTGTGTGAACAGCCCTTCATCCCTAGATGCTTCAGGGGACTATCTATACATTCCTGTCATCCTGGTTATGGTCTAACCGGTCCAAGAACAGACTGAAGTATAATTACCACCACCCCAGGAACAATGTGGCAAGACCCCCTTCCTAGGAAAGCAGCCCCAAAATTCCTGCTCAGATCCCAAAGAAGACCAGCTAGTCCCACATTATTCCATAGGGAGGGTGAGGGAACAATTTGCAGAACATCTTTTGAGGGGAAACCACACCGGCTTAAATAGCTTATTAAAAGCTCTTCACCTATTAGCTGCATAGCATGAGGTAAAAAAAACGCCTCACTGTATAGGTGTCTCATGCTGTATTCAAAAAAGTGGCTGTAGCCAAACCAAACCACAGATCAATGCACTGTGAACTGGCTTCTACTTTAGATCTGCTTGTAATTCTCTTAAATCCAGGAAGGTGCTGCCACCAGCTGTCCTTATCTGCTGCCACTCCAAGTGGCGTACATGGTGGGGGGACTTTTAAAAAACTCCCAGAGTCATGGGCACTGCTTTGTCACTTCTGGGGAAAACCTGGAAATGCCATAAGGCAGCTCTAGGAATCCCTGGGAACTTAGCAGAGAGTTTCTAGTTGATTCCTAGAGCTATCCTACATCACTTCAGGTTTTCCCTGGATGTGATGTAGGAGTTCACACAAACACTGTGTACCCACCTCCAAACCTCCTATTGCTTAATCTAAGACAAAATTTTAATACCCAGGTATTTGTATCAAGAATTTATAGCTTCTGGGTATAGTTAGAATAATTTAATGGAAAACCTGAAGTAGTGTTCAGGATTTTTTACTGTTTGTTTTGATTTATGGACATATGCCTGAATAACATTCAGTGCGTGCTGTTATTCCCATGCTGTTCATTTCATTCAAAACTGAGATCAGTAAAATTATTTACTCCATGAAAGAAAAACAAATTCTTATCTATTAACATAAAAATAAAAAGCAACATTTTTGTTGGCTGTTCATTTTTTTAAGCCACTTTTCATCTTCATTACCTAGGGTTTTCTGCACTGAGTAAGCCCCACTGAAGTGAAATAGACTTAGATCATATGGCACTCTGTTCTGAACTCCCAGCAGACTTCACTTCCTACCACCGCCAGTACCTTTTCAATCTGTGTTACAAATTCTTAAAAATGGGGGGGGGGGATCTTAAAAGCAGCTTAATGTGTATGCACAATTGTGTGTAAGGGGAAGTGGTATTTTTGTTAAGAAAAACAAAAAAAATCCTCTTAAATGCATTCCCATTCCAAGTAATGCATTCTTACCTTTCCCACATATGTGAACATCACAGATGCTGAAAACTAATTCCCCATTTCATTTTTAAAGATATCCTTTCCAAGATGTAAAGTCTTACTTTTGGAATATAAAATACTGTACTAGAATTTTAACACAGTTCTGTTAATAAAACAATCTGGCTCTCCTCAGGTTTTCACAGAAGTGTCACTGAACATTTTATGGCATTTATTTTCTTTATCATGTGCCAAATAATTCAGTTTAGGACATGCACACACTGCTAATATTTTCACACTTGTAGATTCAGTACACACTGTAGACTTTTAAATGCTGCTTGAATCTCAATTGTGGGCAGTTTTCCAGAAAACTGCACAGTTTTTATTTTTTCCTCCCAGGCTACTGTATGCTATGACAGAGTAAAAAGAAGTGACCAACCAAAGGATTTTCCTCATTACCTTTTAGCTGTTCTTCATTTGAAACATCACAAGGAATGAAGATGGTTCTCTGTGTACCGAACTGCTTGTCCAAGTTATTTTTGCTTTCGTTACCTACTACTGTATTCTGATCCACGAGGCCTACCTATGCAAAAGAGATAAGCAGTGATAATCAATACTAAACAGCTAAGAGAGTGGCGTCAGAATGGCTAGCGTAAGAGAAATTCTCTTCATTCCTCTTTCCCCCAATTTCTCCCTGAAATCCAACAAACCATTTACATTCTTCTTTTGAGGAATTTGGACTCTGTTTCCAATCAGTTCTATTCTGATCAG